CTAACGGCTTCATTTTTCTACCAGACAGCAGTCATTCACATCCCCACTGACGGTCCATTTCCTCACTTGGATTCCAGCCACTGCCACAAATCCAAGGGGAGAGAGTATTTCCTTTCCAAAACTAGAAAGAATATAAAAGGACATGGCACAAAGAAGTATGTTATAAAATACAGTGTCAAAGTCCTTAAGGGTCCTTTGAAAGAATGTCTGATAGAACTCCCTTTTCTAGCAAACATGAAGATCCATTTCTCAATGGGAAGGGAACGCAAGTAGCTCACCTAACACCCCAAATCACCACTGCTCGGAGGGGAAGGTACACTTCCCTCTGCTGCACAAGGAAATGCCACAAAACCATGGCACTTGGGGCTCAGGTCATGATCTCATGGTTCGTGGGTTCAAGCCCCACATTAGGCTCTGCACTAATGTGCAAAAACTGCTTGGGATTCTCTCTCTGCCTCTCCCTTGTCTGATGCTTTCTCTTGCTTTCAAAATAAATATATTTTAAAGAATTAAAAAAAAAAAAACATGGCACTCATGAATTCTCATCTGGTAAGCAATCATTCTATTCTTAAAAAAGGTATAGCTGCTTATGTCACAGTCTCTATCTGGATTACCTGTAAAATGTTCTTAGTATAACTTGGCAGTTTTCACCAAATGTTCTAGTAATTTAAAACTTTTAGTGCTCAAGCTCAGGCCAGGATGAAATATTTTTTACTTGACAACAATAAAATAACACATTAGGAGTTTTTGGCCCTGAGGCAGTGGCAAAAATTAGAAAAACCGATGCCAGGAAATTGGGCTGCCTCCTAAGACATACCAAGGAAATAAACTTTTTAACACAATGCAGTTCCTCTAAGAAATGTCAGTTTTTAGTCACAGTGGTGGGTGAGTCCTTCCCCTGAAATAGGCAAAGGCTAAAGGCTAGTGCACACATTTAAGAAACAAGATACCAAATTAAAAAATTGTATTTAAGGGGTGCCTGGTTGGTTCAGTAAGTTAAATATCTGACTCTTTATTTCAGTTCAGGTCATGATCTCACAGTTCTTGAGATCGAGCTCCACATCAGCACAGAGCCGCTTGGGATTCTCTTGCTATCTGTCCCTCCCTCTCTTTCAAAATAAACAAATAAACTTAAAAAATTATACTTAATTCACTCTTCTCCAAATAGTTAATAGAATAACCTTAAAATTCTATTATTGAATACGCACATGTAAATAATGTAACAAAAAGGCAGCATCTGTCTGCTAAATTGACTTTATTTTTTCCACTAGATATGATTCATTCACATTTGTTCAGCAACCACCTTCAAAAGCAAAAGCTAAACAAGGGACAAAAACACAATCGTGACGCCCTTTAAGAAACTGCTGGGAAACGCAAAAGCAGTGTGAAGGAATTCACAGAGCAAGAGCAAAGTTTCCTAAAAGACCTCCCACATCTCAAGCGCAGAAAAGCCAAGAGAAAACACACACCAGGGACTGGAAACCCAGTTACGAGGGGAATCTGTCATCCACTTCCTTTCACTCATCAGAAATTACGCAGATGTCACTCTGTGCCAGACTCTGTGCTGAACTCATGTGATCTTTATCACATGCCAGCGGCCTGCAGATGGGTTGAGTTTGGTCTATATCATTCTTTTCTTGCTAATTTAAACGTCAGGCGATCTCACATCAAATTCCAGATATCTGACTTCTTAAAAAAAAATTGAGAGATCGCAACATGGGGCAGGAGTCCTTCACTGACAACTTTCAATGGCAGTTGAGAAGCAATGGACTCCACAGCAAAGGGCACACTTTCCAGTTTGCCACAATCTCCACCATGCCCTAGTGTCGCCCCCAACAATACGCCCAGTGGTCCACATATTCATGTCGTTGTCCGGGCCCTGAGGTACTTAAGTTTGCTACTCCCACTCTAGGAAGAAAAGGGAGAATAAAAATGTCCCCTGAGCTTCTTAAAGAAGCTCAGAGTCTAAGGAAGTCAGTAGACATGACGAGTTACAACACGGTATCATAGCAACTACAGGAGATGAATAACAAGGGAACAACAGAAGCCCTAAGGAAGGTGCAACTAACCCCACCAAGGGGAATGGAGGTATCCAGTCACCAACACAGGGGAGAGAGGACATTTGGAGAGGGTCTTGAAGGATTCTCAAGGGGGTGGTCTGGCAGTAAAGTGGAAGGGGGTCAGCTCACATGTACAGAAAGGTGAAAGGACTAAAAGAACGTGGAGTTTTCTGGAGATGGGGTTAGGTAGAAAAAGGACTCCTATCACCTACCATACTAACAACTTGGCACTTAAGTCTGCAACAATGGGGCGGGGCACCTGGGTGGCTCAGTCGGTTAAGTGTCTGACTTCGGATCAGGTCATGATCTCACGGTTCGTGCATTTGAACGCCGCGTCGGGCTCTGTGCTGACTGCCAGCTCAGAGCCTGGAGCCTGTTTCAGATTCTGTGTCTCCCTCTCTCTCTGACCCTCCCCTGTTCATGCTGTCTCTCTTTCTCTCTCAGAAATAAATAAAACAAAACAAAAAAAAAAAGTCTGTAGCAATGGAGCCAAGAGAGCCTCTAAGCACAGGCTGACATGATCAGATGTGTCCTTTCAGGGGAAGATCCTGATAGCACTATAGAATATGACCTGGGGGCCAAGAACCTTGCTGGAATGCACCCCTTTGGATGCTGAGGTGCACCCCCTTCTTAGTTTCCTGGTGCTTAGAAGCCTTACACTCTCTGCCAATGATAAGTCTTGGTTATCTCCCCTGTCATTTCTATCACAAACTCATTTGGGTCAACAAAGGTATCTTTCTTAAATTGGCCTAATGAAAATGCTGTACTTGGGGCACCTGGGTGGCTCAGTCAGTTGAGGTTCAGCTCAGGTCATGAACTCAAGGTTCATAAGTTCAAGCCCCACAACAGGCTCTCTGCTGTCATTGCAGAGCCTGCATCAGATCCTCTGTCACCACCACCCCCGCCCATTCCCCCGCTCGTGCTCTCTCAAAATTAAAACATTTTTTAAAATGCTGTACGTTAACATACAATACTGACCTTTGAAAGAGTCAAAATGTGAGGGGCGCCTGGGTGGCTCAGTCAGTTAAGCGTCGGACTTCATCTCAGGTCATGATCTCACAGTTCGTGGGTTCGAGCCCCACATCAGGCTCTGTGCTAACAGCTAGCTCAGAGCCTGGAGCCTGTTTCAGATTCTGTGTCTCCCTCTCTCTGGCCCTCCTCTGTTCATGCTCTCTCTCTCTCTCAGAAACAAATAAAACATTTAAAAAAATTTGTTTTAATGCGAAAGACTACATCTCTATAGATGATCTTGATTCCATACAACAAAAAGGTCCTCTTTCACCTACCAAGTTTCCCTTCCCCACTTGCCATATATGTGAGAGGACCTAGAAGCTTCTAATAACATATCTTGCATCTGATGCATGGCACAAGTTTAACGTTCCTTACATTCAGATCACTATATGTATGCCCAAAACACCATCCTCAACTACCCTTCAAAGAATAAACATGTTAACTCGAGCTTTGATGTCAAGTCTGAAAGTGATAAAGACATGTGGGTTCAAAGGAGAATCATCTTACTCAACAGCCTACTAGAACGTCCCCCATGAAACAACAGCACAGAAAGGCCAAGAATAAGCATAGCAGGCTGATGCGCAGAAAGAAAATCAGATGGAAAAAACAGACATATCCCCTCAAAGCAACGAAAATTAAGTCACTTTCCATTTTCCTTCAAACTAAACCTAATCTCCAAAAACACCCAAACCAAAACAAAACAAAAACCTAAGGCAAATCAATGAGAAGCTCTTTAAAAACTATCTCAGTTATAACAACCCCAAACAGACTATTTCCCAGACCCTTTATTGTTATAACAAACACAACCATCTTTCACTTCTTGTCATTTGCAATTACCATGCCATAATTGAAAATCAGTGAATCACTATGGAGCTTAGGGGAGAAGGGGGCCGACAAGCTCAGAGAGTCGCCGTAGTCATCACAGAATAAGCCAACAATATCAAGAGTTCTTTTCTCATCCTATTTAACCTGTGCATTGCAGAGACTCTACAAAACTTTAGACTCTGTAATCCCTCCCAGTCCCTAAAGATGGCATGATTATTTCAAAGCATTTTCCCCTTCAAAACATTGCTTTTTCTCTTCTTCAACAGCCAAGATGAGGCCTGCACCAAAAAACCTCAATATAATTTACAATCTATGTTGTAGAAGCCAAGAATTCAATTAAGAGAAAAATTATCTCACAAGGGCTCGGGCAATTTAGCCAATTAACCCTGATGGAACTCTGCTGATAAAAGAACCCAAACCATTTTGGGTTTTTAAAAATTTTTTATTTTTTTTTTTACTTTTATTTATTTATTTATTTATTTATTTTTTGAGACAGAGGAACAGAGAGAGAGGTAACACAGAATCTGAAGCAGGCTCCAGGCTCTAAGCCGTCAGTACAGAGCCCGATGTGGGGCTCGAACCCATGGACCATGAGATCATGACCTGAGCTGAAGTCGGACACTCAGCCAACTGAGCCACCCAGGCGCCCTGAACCCAAACTGTTTAACAAAAGGCTTCACAAGCCTAAAGGAACAGGCTAAGGTAGGGGTAGGGGTCAGGATTCCAGACATCTGGTTCCGGTCTGCAATCCTGAAGCAAAGCCACTCGATGCCCTTGGTTTCAAACCCTTAGGCACACCTGGAGGGGCCCAGCTCCCTGATAGGCCTCCAAATCATACCCCTAATGACGGCATTATCCACGTCCTTAAATTTATAGACTCAAAATGGTCAACAGCAGCACTGCTGAGCTCATTATTTGTGAACAAGCTCTATTTCCACGATCTGATGAAGCTGAGTTCCACTCTGTAGTGAAAAGAAAAACAACCTAGCACCGGTGTGGGCGAGGCAGTCTCACCCCTTCGTCTGTCCCCAAGCCGCACTCTCACTCTCACGCCCGGGGCCAACATGCCCGGGCGTTTGACCAGACCTGGCTCAGCGGACTCACCTTGGTGGCCTCTTCTACGCTCTCCCTCAGGGCCTGCAGCTCGGCGTCGTACTGCTCCTTCAGCTTGTCCATCTCCAGGTCATGGCTGGAAACCTCCTCCTTCAGGGCCCCCTTCAGGGCGGTGAGCTCACGCTCCCGCTTTCTTAGGAGGTCTTCCTGCTCCTCTTTGGCGATGAGCAGATCCTGAAGATCCTGTTTTGCCTGTAAGAGTTCCTAGAGAGAGGAAGCATGAGCAGGGAGGCGAGGGTTAAACGTCTCTGCTGAATGGCCCCGCATGTCCCCTCCAGTTGGGTGGCCCAGACAAAGGGCCGTCCTCCCAACGTGTCCTCCGACTCCCTCCTCCCCACACTACACAACAGTGTAGACCATCTCCTCATCCTTTTCACTCCTCTGAGGCCATCATTCCCCTTGATCAGTCTGTCTTAGCTTTTTTGAGATTTGATTTGAGGAAGAAAAAAGGGAAGCTGATTTTCTTTTCATTGCTTTGAGGTGGCATGTGTGTCTTTTCCATCTCCCCTCCTTTCCATGCTACGGATGGTCTGTTGCCCTCGCAATGGGCTCGTGTCCACTGTCTGGGCTCGCTGAACTTCACACCACCCCTGGGTCCCTGTGTGTGGTCAAACCCTTCATTCACAGCCCTCGTACTGGGAGGACTCTGCCCAGGCTCCTGTCGCACTTGGGCAGGGCACACACTCACATACTCTCTTCGTTCACTGCCAAGACTTGCTGAGAAAAGTCACAAAACTGGGGCAACACGTTCCGCTACAAATCGTATTACCTAAACCCAAGTGTGTCCCGCCAAAAGTTCAGCATTCCTTGGACTTCACCATCTTTGCCCCACTGGGCTCTCCGTAAGTCTGGGACACGTCCTCTCCTGCAGACACCCCCCCGTCACGCTGGCAGGCCCTGGACGCAGCTGCCACGGCGTCCCCGCCACTTCGGTCTTCTCCACACGCCTGGCTTCCTCCCACCCGCAGCCACTTCCCACACAACGAGCTGCCCCTCGCCAGCCTGCTCTGGCTCCATCAGCGATCTGTTTCAGGTGGTTCTTTTCTCTTTCCTTGAATCTATGCTCTGTCCCTCAAGGCACAAGAATCCACTGGGTCAAGGGGAAACCACAACAATAAGCTTTGCCACTGAATTTTTAAAAAGTATAATTTCTGTTCACTGTGCTTCTTGACCACCTAGTCACTCTTTTAATCTCTTGGTATATGACCCTGGATCCTACTGTACTAAGACTGGCCCCTCCAAGGTCATAGTGACCTCTCAATCAGCATGTCCAGGCTTCCTCCCAGTCCTCTTCACTTTTCTCGAGTGACCCTTCTTTGATCTTCCCCACCTGCTTTTTAAAATTCTCTTTTGCCCTGCAGTTCAAAGACACTACATGCCTGTCTTCTTCCCTCAGGCTGTTTTTTCTATGACCATCTTCTCTGGCTTTTCTCTCCCTCTTCCCAAAAGCTGAGATGATCCCCAAGAATGCAACTTTGCATTCTTTATACTCTTTTTTTGGCAAGCTCATCTATCTCCTCCCCACCCCCCACTATTCATTCTAAGTAAGTCCCAAACCTTTACCTCCCAACTCTTATCTGGATTCGGACCTGCACTTCTAGTGACCCACCGGACACAGCCATCTGGATGTCCCACGGCCACCTTGGATTCAGTAGGTTTATATTTTTCAGTGAATTCATCAGGTTCCATCCTTTCCTCCTCCTTTGTTCATTATTCTTATAAATGGCACCACCTGCTTGGTGGCACAAGCTTGGACGCATCCTTGACCTCTCTTGTCCTTGTCCTTGAGGACTAACAAGTTAGCTCTGTAACATCTTAGAGAGCCTTTCCCTCCCCTCCCTGGTTTAGGCTCTCCTGCCACCCAACTGTTCACTGCATCCAGTTGCTCACCCATGGCCCCTATGACATTATCCTCTGTCTCAAGCGCCCTTCTTCCCTCTCAATCCCACCTGCCTCTGCCTTTCAGAAAATCCCTGAAGACTCAGATCCAGGATCTCCTACAAGAAGTCTTCCTTGAATCCCCTTCCTGATACCCATCTGACTTTAGCTGTGTCTCAGAGCACTTCATACTTTCACCTGGCCGTCCACAGAGATTATTCTCTTTTCTCCCCTGCTAGACGATCAGCCCCTTAAAAGAAGAATATAGATCTGACTGCATTTTTGGTGCAAAGATCAATGATACTGGGAATATGTCTTTTCTCCATATACATAAATTCACACGTGCAGTGCAACAGAAATCTGGAGATAACAGATTCTAAACTGATCTATTTTTTCACTGGTGGCTTCTGAGTAAATACACACCCTGTTCTCTTGGAGTTCCTGGGGAATCAGAGGAATGGCTGCCATCTGCGGCGCCAAGGCCTCAGCGATGGTAAACTACTTTCCATTTGAGCAGTATGTCGCTGATGAGGGGATGAAAATACAAATGACGATCGAGTCTCTTGCCTTTTCTCTGGGACGTGCACATGCACTGAGCCAGTCCCAGGGTAGAACCACACAGCAAAGACCAAGAGAGCCCTTCAAGAATCTCGCTAGCAGGCGCTGATAAGCTCAGATGAAAGCTCAAGAGATTCATCCGGGTAACTAGCGCAATTCTGGTTCTTCCAAAGCACCAAGCACAGAACACATATGCAAATCTTAAGAAAATATATCCCATCCTGACAGGTATCAAAGGGGACATTCCGGTGCGGATGCTGCTGGCCCCTCCTTAAGAGGTATCAGAGACCACCGCCCCCACCCCCCCGCCCCCATCACGGTCGTGACTGGCCACCCAGCAGGTCTTCCTGGGCTCTCTGCCAGCCTCTTCCTAACAGATATTGTGATTCTAACCCCATTTCCTGCTCTTACTCAGACACATTTCTCAACTGTTTTGATAATAAGGTAGTTCCTCTTCCCACACTTATCTTTCCCAGGATGTATCTGGGCTTTGTGTTGCCTTGTGTGTACTCCCACCAATGCGTGTCAAGAACCTAGGTTTTTAGGGTCCGTTTTACACTGACGTGCCGTTATCTGTGGCCACGGCTATTGCTTAAGTGGTCCGGGGTGAACAAATCCAGTCAGATCACGCCTCACGCTATCACTTAGCAGCACTTGAGGTTTTCCAGGGTAGAGACCAAAAAAACAAGAGAGATTTCAGAAACTTTACCCCATCGCCTCAGTAGCCTCATTCCCAGTTCGATCAAGCCAAAGAAAGGAGAGAAAGTATATAAATTTCAAAACGTTAGTAAATACCAATCAGAAGTGACCATGCCTCTCTAGATAGTATCCAAGAGATAAAAACCTAGTGAGTATGAATGTGTGTATGTGAGCAGAATTGATTGTGCTTGGTACTTAGTATGTAATAAGAATTGTGCTAAGCATTTCCAAAGATCCTAGGAGATGAATACTCAAGGCGATTAATATTATTCTCATTCATAAATGAAAAAAAAAAACCTCTGGAGCTCTGAGACACTAACATGCCTGCATTCACACAGCTTAAGGTGGAAGATGAGAATACAGCCTGGATACCAATGCCCCTTGTCTTAATCACACAGCCTCGGCGGGCCTGACCACAAACCTACACACTCTAGAGGGATTGAGGAGCAAACAATTACACTGTGCTCTGGCTCTCAGCTTCAAATGGAAGAGAATACCGTGTTTGGCTGGAAGTGACCATAAGGAGGTCCGCTTCTAAAGAAAAGAGACACGCCCAGGGCACCTGGGTGGCTCAGCGGGTTAAGCATCCAACTTCGGCTCAGGTCATGATCTCATGATTTGTGAGTTCAAGTCCCGCATTGGGCTCTGTGCTGACAGCTCAGAGCCTGGAGACTGCTTCAGATTCTGTGTCTCCCTCCCTTTATGGCCCTCCCCCGCTCAGTCTCTGCCTCTCTCAAAAACAAATGAACATTAAAAACAAAAAACAAAACAAAACAAAAAGACATGCCCAGAACCCAAAAAGAAAGAAAAAAGGCTGAAAGAAAAAGAAAAGTCCGCTCTGGAACCTGGCTGTGAGCACCAGCAGCAAGTGGCTGTCGGGACAGCAGGTGCACTGAGACACACATTCCAGAATATCCACAGCAGCAACTTACTTGCCCATATAAAGCTCACTTTACACATCACCTATTCACACGTATTCCAGGTCAAACAAAAAATGCTTCTCTCTTCAGTATAAATGTTTCCCAGAAGTTCAACAGGCTCCCTATCTCTGGCCCACACTCACTAAAAGGATACATAAGAGTGTTATTTATATCAGAATTGTAGCTGATATGGAATTATGCAAATTTTGTTCCCAGAAGAATGGCCTAGACAGCACTTCACAACTGATGAAAACCATGATTATTTTTTAGTAATTTTTAATTAAAATCTGTATAATAATTCAGTCATATCTTGCAAGTTTATAACTATTTAGAGACCTCATTTTTGAGCACAGTCTATTCTCAGCTCAATATAATTTCAATACCAGCATATTTTAAGTACTTGCATCTTGGCAAATGCCAGGGATAAAACATTACCAGATTCTGTTGGGAGTAAGGCCCATCTATCAGCACTGTAGGCTCCCATCAAAGGTGATGCTTGGTAATTAGACAAATCCACTGACATGGCACTTAGAGCAAGGTCACATGTTCACCCTCTACCCCCAGAATGGAGAGAAATGCATTCATGGACAGAGAAGGTGCTAAAAACTTGTTGCATAATCATTTTTGTAACTTGAGATTTTTTTTTTTAAAGTTCAGAACCATCAATTACTTAAGAATAATAAAGTCATCTTATTTTTGGTCAGTTATATGGCTTATCCTAAGAAAATTGTATTTTTTACTATTTCTTTCTATCTTCTTTTAAGCTCTTTTATTCTCTCTGAATGTTACTTTTCTGTTTTGTATTGGTGCCCAATATTATTTAACAAAATGTGAACTATTAAAAGAGATTTCATGAAAAATCTTGTGGATTGTGGTAAGCCTCACAAAATAAAAACCCTTCAACCTTTTTCAAACATTCAAAAGCAGAAGTGTTTAATGTTCATTTGTGCTTAAGAGCCTGTTCTAAGTCAAATGCCATGGAAAACTTGGCCATAACTATAATCTGTTATCGTATTTCCCCAAGCCACTTTTTATTAAGATATGAAAAATAAATTGAATGTGACAAGGAGATAGGGCCTATTTTATTAGGGTATAGAAACCATAGATCATTCTTTAAATGTCGCTGACAAGTAACAGGAATTTGATTAAAACAGTAAGGATGAATTTCCCAAGGAGAAACCCACTTTGGCACAGAAAAGCTACCTGTGCCCCTAACTAATCCTGCAGAAAGACAGCAATAGATGATATTCCTCCCATTACAGGAAGAGGCAAATAATCAGAAAGCCAGCAACACTGGGAACATTTGTAAGAGCAGATGTGCTCTGTTTCCTTTTCTGTGTCTCTCATTACCAACCTGAAAACACATCACCAAAACTGAGGTTCATATGCTTATCCTAGTTATCACTAAGTCAATAAACTATTCAATTAAATTATATCAATATTTGCTCAGTACACTGTGCTTAAAGAGGCAAAGAAGCATGTGGCTCAATTCAGAATTATCCCCTTTTCTTAAAATGGTGACAATTCTAAAATGAGTTAAAATTTTTAATTTACTTATTCATTTGCTCTATTGCTTAGCATTGTGTTAGGCATGAAATGGGGGAAGAAGCAAAGGCGACATGTTCTTGAATTAGCTGGCTAATAGAAGAAAGGGACAGGGCGCCTGGGTGGCTCAGTAGGTTAAGCGTCTGACTTCGGCTCAGGTCATGATCTCACAGTTCATGGGTTCAAGCCCCACATTAGGCTCTGGGCTGACAGCTTAGAGCCTGGAGCCTGCTTCAGATTCTGTGTCTCCCTCTCTCTCTGTCCTCCCCTGGTCTGTCAGTCTGTCTGTCTGTCTCTCTCTCAAAAATAAAACAAAAAAAAAAACATCAAAAATAATTTAGAAGAAAGGGACAGATACAGAATACAGCAAGGTCAAATGTACTAACATGAACCTAAAAGGATACAGGAAATCAGGTAAAAAAGGACAACTAACAATTATAGGTTTCAGTTAGTGAGAAAATCGAGCAACTTAAGAGACTTCACAGCAGCTAAGAGAACACCTTCCTCTTTTTTTTCAATAAAGTGCCCATACAAGAATCATAGGATATGGCAAAGTCTTCTTTTTAAATCTGTTTGTGAAGCTACATTTTTATTGAAAGCCATAAACTTTTCAACGACATCATTTCTGGGAACTTACCCTTGGGAAATTTTTCTAAAGTAGTAAAAGGCTACATGTGAAAAACATTCAACACATTTTTACGTACTTGAAAAAAAAAAAAGAGAAACGATAAACATACAAGGATGATGGAACATATTATGCTTTATCTCCTTAAAAAATGAACTATGAAGACTACAGAGTATCATATGGAAAAGTGTTTCTGACAAATGAACTTTTAAAAGCAAGTGTCAAAGCTGTAGGGATCCTAAATTACAGAAGGGTAGATGAAAGCTCTCAATGGTCAGGAAGGCAAACAGAAAATGTAGAAATAAAAATAGCCATTAAGGTATAGGAAAATCTTCCCACCTGTCCATTTTCAGATTTCATGTTATGGTGTTTTAATATTTCAGTGACAAATACACCCATTTTCACAGCCTCATTCTAATGTACCTTGTCTTTGTGACTCAACCCTCAAAAGAAGGCAGCGCCTCGAGAAGCAGTCTAATCCCACGAATGTGGTGGTTGTTAAGATACAGGTCCTTAAATAAAGAGAAATAGGTGCTAAGGAACAGGCCCGAGGCCTGCTTGAAAGAAAAGTTCCAAACAAAGACAAAGAGATGGCCGTGTGGAGAAAAGAAAAGCAACCTCCCTCTGCCCATGTGAAAAATGAATCCATGAGAACGTCTATGCTAGGCGGCCACAGGGTCTCTGCTCTCCGTCACTGCCAAGTCATGGGGAAGAGACTGTCAGCTCTAAAGAGCAAGAACTAAAATCCCTCCCGGGCATTTACTCCAAAACTAAACAAGGAAGGGGGTGAGTAAACACTTGACAGCTGACACTTACAGGCAGCCAGAAACTTTAACTCCAAGACAGGGGATGAAGAGAAGACCCAGGCCCTTAGGGGAAAAGCAGTAGAAAATGAAAATTAAATGTTGACAGGATACTTTTATTTTTTTATGGGTTTTTTTTTTTTTGCATCATTCTAAATTATGTATTATTTATTTGTTGGCTGTTTCTATAAACCAAAGCTTATAAGGAAATAAACTTTAAAACTATGCCAAAAATATAGGTTATGATAGTATTATAACCAGTATCAAAACATCTAAATGGGTGCAGAGATAAAAGTTCTGGCTATTTCTGATCCTCGATTGTACCCCATTCCCAACACACACAAAAAAGGAGATTTTCATAACCTATGAGTGTATCTACCACCTCAACAGGATGGCAATCTACTTCAGGGGAGAGATCATGACGGTCTTTGGAAAACCACACAATCATCAACAAATGCTAAGCAGAGGAAAAAGTCAGCCTTATCCACTGAATCGCAGATTGCTAAGAGCTAAGTATGCAGTAGGGAATATACTGTTATGGGCAGAAGCGAGATGCGCAGCCTGTCTACCCAGCAAGTACATTTATTCATTCATTCACTCACTCATTCATTCGTTCGTAATGCGTCTATCCAACCATCCACCAATATATGCTGAGTGCCATATGTCCCAATCACTGGGACAGCTGCTGCAGACAAAACACTAGGCCAGTTGTCACCAACCCTACCTCCTGGAGCTTAAAGACCTGTAGGAAACTGTGATAAGTGCTGTATGGGCACTAACATCTTTAAAATGCTTTCCCATAACTAGTATTACTTACAAAGTATTTTTGCCCAAAGTTTAACCTATATCTATTAGTGTTTAGATCTAACCTCAAATTTACTGGAAATGAAGGAGATAGTGAAACAAGTTAATGGACACCATAAGGAACAAGTGGACAATTCCAAAATGTGGGCCATTGGTCTGGTCTCTTCCAAAAATCAGTGGAATGGAACAAAGTTGGAAATGTGTGCCAAAATCTACACAAAAACAAATAAACTCAGAGAGAAAGAACAATGAAAGCAACATGGGATTCTTGGTTGGACTCTGGCGTGGGGGAACAACTATAAAATAAACTTGAGGGACACTGGTAAATTCTCAATAAGGACCAGTTATTAGAATTAGAATTATTGTTATATTACAGGAATTATTGTTTTAGGTATGATCATAGTTTTGTGGTTATAACAAAATTCCCTAATTTTTTTAAGATGCATGCCAAAGAATTAAGGAGTGAGTGTGGTACTGTCTGTAATTTACTTTGAAATGGTTCAAAGACAAACAGATGGACAGATGAAAAAATAATAGGATAAATGAAGGGACAGATGAAGAAATGGGAGAAGTATGGCAAAATGTTGACAACTGTTGAATCTGGGTTGGAGCTCCATGGGAGTTCATAAATTACTCTTTCCACTTTTCTGTATGTTGAAAGTTTTCCTAAGACAAAGTTTAAAACCAATTAATCTAGAAGGAAATAATACTATGATGCTTTTATGGAATCTAGCCACAGGCACACCTGACAGAATATGGCTCGTAGTATCCGGTCCACCCTCCCACCCCCCAATCTGGTTCTCTCCAGGCAGACAGGCCTCTCTTATCAGCTGATCCCACAGGTGTCCTTACCTCAATCAGAGCTCCCTTCTCCCTGTCCTCGGATCGTTTAGCACTGTCCAGTTCATCATGCATTTCTGAGAGTTGGTCCTGAAGATCCCTGATTTCAGTCTGGTGCTGTTCCCGTTCCATCTTCACCTGGAACAGTCTGGCAGAGAAGGAAGCCCCTCAGAGAGACTCTCTTAGGCCCTGCTTTTTTTTTTTAATCCAGTCTGATCGCAGACCTTCAGATGATCAAACAGAGTCATCTAAAGCCCCAAGGAGCCTCCCATTCTCTGTTCTATACTGAACAAGGAATCACAAACCAGAAAAGGCACTGGTAAGAACTCATGACTTCAGTCTAACTCGCCAACAAGACGACACATGAGAAGTCAAACCAGTATAAAGGGGAAGGTAATACAGTGACTGTTTCTCCCCAAAAGGAGACCACGGGGTACTGGAATTTGGACAATAAGAAAGATAAGAAATTGACGAGAAAACCCAGAACTTCTTCGATAATGCCTTCACTTAAGCCACCTTATTCCCTACCCCGTCACCCCACCCCCAGGCCCAGGAGAATTAGCGAATCGGGGCCTGCTGGACAATCTGGCCCACAGCCAATTTTTGTAAATTAAGTTTTATCAGAATATAACCATGCTCATTCATTTATATATTGCATATGGTCATCTGCACAATACAATGGCAGAACTGAGTGGGTTCAACAAAGACCATACAGCCCATAAACCATACAGGATTTACTATCTGACAGAAAAAGTTTGCCAACCTCTGCTCTAAATCAAATTCACAACTACTTTATCTTTTTCATTTGTGACGTCTTTACTACATCCTAAATTGTGTTTTTCTCACCAGTTTTTCTGAAATTAACCTCTTAGAATGTTTTAAAAGCAGAAACTACATCAAAATAGCAAGGGCAATTAAATGATTTTATTATACAGTATCTTATTTTTCTTGATTTCCCTTCTAGATTTCACCCCCGCTTAAACCTTCACTTAAGGCTTCCACCACGTCCATAGAGCTTCATAGCACTGCACATTTTCAGACATTGGTTTCAGATCCTTTTGTCGCAGATTTTAATATGACACAATGACAGGGCCATCTTGGCTTTGACCTGCCCTCTCTGCTGACTCAACAGATGCATAAGCACTGGTCAGCACCATTCAGGATAAGTCACCAACTGGAAGATTACAGAAGTTATATGATGTGCTTTTTGGATGCTGGGTCCAGACTCCATGAGATCTCTGTCTTCAGATGTCAGCACTGTGTTCCCTGCTTCTCACTTATCTGCTATGAGAGCCACTCAGAGGGGCTGAAACTTGCCAAGGCATCTTTTAAGGTATACAAGGACTTTTTAAATTATTAACCTTTCTGCACGTGTCATCAGTTTCCCCATTTTATAAGGTTAAGAGTGAGAAAAGGAAGAGTTAGCAGCCTCAATAAATATCTGGAAGGCCAGTTGGTATTAAATGGACAGGAAGGTTCTGGCTGCATCGGATGCAAGAACCCAGAAGGGCAGGGGCTCTTGGCCCAGAACTCACTCCTCCAGGTTTTTCCGGAGCTCGCCTTCACTTTCTTCCAGCCGCTGCTGCAGCACGGAGTTCTCTTCCACCTTACTGTCGTGCTGGCCCTGGAGCTCTTCCAAGTTTGCTTTCATCCTCTCTCTCTCTTCTTTGATGTTCTGCTGATTCTAATAGAAATAGATGCGATCTGCAAGTACCTCCACTGAACACTAATGCAATCCCACAGAAGACTACCTTGAAACTGATGGACTCTATGCTTTGGAGTTATTAGACAACTTCATCAAATTATATCATTTGGCATGGGAGTTTGCAACTGGAAAGAATATTAAATACTGAACAAGCTGTAATAGGTCTAAAAGAACTACAAAGGCAGCTAAACCTCGGTCTGCTATTTCTGTCACTCAGTTTGGATACTGTATATGCATTTAAGTTTCCTACTGGCCTGCCTGAATCCAACAGTGTTTCACTCTGTCAAAGCTAACGGTGTCTACATGCCTTGGTTACTTTAAACAATTAAAAAGGTTCTCTGGACAACGGGAGCCAAATTTACCTAGTGGTAAGAGGAATGTTTCTTTTGGAGGAGAAAAATACTGGCTTTCACTTCACTTGGGCATCCTGATATGCTTAAAATATTCTTTATCAATCAAGACAAAATTTAAAAATAACGTAAAGAAAATACCAGATACCTTGACCTCTAGTTGAAGCTGTCTCTGAAGTTCAGCCACTTCCGAGCTCAACTTATTTTTCTGTTCCAACAGATCTCTGACTTCAGACGAAGAATTAGAAGCCTATAATTATTGCAAAGATTCTCTAAGGTAAATGTTCAAGATGCTTTATTTTCTCTTTCTCCCAACAATACAATCTGAGGAGTAACACCAAAATCTTAAGAACCAATTCAAATTTAAATCCCTAGAGAGAAAGGGACACAATGAAACCTTTTGGGGATGATCAGAGTGTTGTGTGTGTGTATGGACACACACCTCTATTAAAAACTCAATAAACCATACAGTTAAGATTTGTGCCATTTACTGTATATAAGTCATGCCCCAATAAAATGATATAAAAAGATAAAAATAAGTATTTATTGAAGATTCACCCACTGCATAAAGTTATACCCAAAGCCCATGTCTCTGTATCTCCAAAGCCCTTCATACGATCCACCTATTACAGAACCTCCATGACACTGGGAATTACTGCTCCATAACCAGAGATGTTCTCACTCTCTGCACAGGCCTGTACACAAGCAGTAAATAAATGGATGTTAGCTAAATTGGTTTTCTTCATTTAGATGCTACATTTCCATAATGAAGGGAGATATAACAAAGAGGGATCTGATTAAAGAGAGTCTATTAGAAAATATCTCTGATCTGAGTATGAATATTAATGATCTTTTTTTTCTTCCATGGATACAGTAACAGGATGATGCTCTGAAAAGGATTTGGCTAAAATCCTAGAGCAAAGTGGTTAGAAAAACTACAAAAGGGGAGGAGAAGAGTTAAAGGCAGGAATCGAAGCTAGAAAAAGCCATGTCCTGGTTCTCGCGCACCTGAATCCATATGTGAGTTGTATATAATGAACTTGGAACCAGGTACTTCCTGACCTATTCCTGTGAAGTTAACTGAACCCAGCAGTCAACAAGAACACAGGACTTCCTATTTTCTTAGGCAAATGAGAACAATCCATTATGGAAATCTAAATCCAACTCAAGAGAGAAATCGTACACTGTTCTCACCCAAATGAAAACTATCTGCTCTGCTGTTTCCAAGATGGTCTTTCCTTCTCTCACAGGAAATCCCTTAGCTGACACCAAAAACATAAAATTCCCAAGCCTCTACCTGCAGATAATCAGATTCAGAAAATAACAGGGAGAGAAGGGGAACAGAAAAATATGGGCAATTCAGCAGTCATGGCACTGTGATCTCAGCCAGAAGTCGAAGTCATCTCTGGCTTGATGCGCCAGCAGCCTAACTAGTCTCCCTTCCTCTTACCTCTCTCCAAAAGCTGCAAAAGGAATAGATTTCTACAAATATGACAGTATTCATTCCTGTTCAAAGTCCATAGATGATGGCCCAACACCTTCAGCCTAAAATGGAAACTTATGTGATTTCCAAGGTCCTTTCTTTCTTCTTTTTTTTTTTAAAATTTTTTTAATGTTTTATTTATTTCTAGGAGAGAGACAGAAAGAGAGACAGCGCGAGCAGGGGAGGGTCAGAGAGAGAGGGAGTCACAGACTGAAACAGGCTCCAGGCTCTGAGCTGGCAGTCAGCACAGAGCCCGACGCGGGGCTCGAATCCACGAACCGCGAGATCATGACCTAAGCGAAAGTCGGACGCTCAACCGACTAAGCCACCCAGGCGCCCCCCAAGGTCCTTTCTATCTGGCACTTCCTCCCCACATCCTGGCTCTCTGCTACACTCAATTACCTCCAGGCCTCTAAACATAGCAAACACACACCTCTTTATATTTGTTCATGCTGGTCCCTCTACCTAAAACACCCTGCCCTTCCTTCTTCTCCCAGAGCATTCTTTACTCTTTTGAGATACCATTAGTGTCCTGGATTCCAAAGGGCCTAACCTAACTTTCCTAGTTTGGTCTAGATTCCCATAATCTGTGACCCACAATGACAATCTCAACACCAAGACCAAAGATCTGTTTCCACTTGGAATATATGCTGGTGAGTGAAAAGCAAGACTCACAGTGATAATTTGGATTGAAGAGTTTTAGCAAAAAACTTTAAACTGACTTTAAGAACTATGGAGAGCCCCTGAACCTTGCCTATAAAAGCAAGATGTAAAATTTCAAGATTCCCCTGTGGGAATAATGTGTGTGTATGTGTGCATTTGTTCTACTGGATGTCATAACAGCAGGTATGGGCTGAGTGCTGAACAGTAGACAGAAGAGGGTAACTGATGCCCAAAAACACCCTTTATATGTATGTTTCCAAAGTTACAAAGAAGCTATAGACAAACTTCCTGTGACTTGTCTCTGGCATTTTCTTTCCTTCCCATGCAGAATTCCCCAAGAGGGAAAGAGAAGACACACAAGTAAGAAGCAGATGCCAATTCAAGGTGGTGCAGAATTGAGGAACAACCTTTTAGTCATCCCTCTTAAATGCTGCTTCCTCTCAGGGCACAAGGAGAGGCTGACATGTAGCAGATGTTCATCAAATATGAGATGACTCTTTTAACAGCAACAAAAAAATCTCCAAGTCCCAACTGGAATTCAGTATAATAAATTAAACAGGACTTTTTTTTTTTTTTTTTTTTAAGAATTTGGTTTCAATCCATTCTTTCCTTTCTCTTCCACCCTGCTAGTTGGCTTCACCAGTCTCTATTCTTATTCTCTTGTTCTTATCCTCTTATTTCTTATTCTCTGAAGTTCTAGAGCTTGGGTCCAGTTCACACTTACCTTCCTTCGAAACCTTGGATATGTTAGGGTTCTCCATCCATGAAATCAAGTCTTTCTTCCTATTTTTATTTTCTCTTTCTAAATTTCACCACCTATTTGTTTCATCGTGTTACATGTTATATATACGTATATATATGTTTGTATGTGTATATGTATATTTTTAATGTATATGTTTATGTATATATGTATTTTTAATATTTTAATATAAATAATACAAAGTATTGTATTTTATATATGTATATATACATATATATTTATATTTATACATTTTTTTTTTGAGAGAGAGCATGCGCAGGGAACGGGAAGAGAGAGAGGGAGACACAGAATCTGAAGCAGGCTCCAGGATGTGAGATGTCAGATCCGGGGCTCGAACTCACAAGCCTTCAAGCCATGAGATCATGACCTGAGCTGAAGTTGGCCACTTAATCGACTGATCCACCCAGGCGCCCCAATATGTTATATATATTTTTAAATAAAATCTCTTAAAACCTTTCTGAAAAAAAGGCAGGTGCACAACAATAATATTTAAAACATGATCTTCCATCTTAGATCCTGCTAACAACTTCCCACTCACTGCAATAACCAAATGTACAGGCTGAAGAAACAGCAATTTGTTTGCCACATTCCAAGTTAAATGCCCTCCACAGAACACAGAACTCCAATTTACTTGATTATTTCCTTGTGTGCTCCCTGCTGCTCGAGACTTTAAAGTCTGGATTTTCTCAAAAACCAGGTTGACCTTCCGTTTAGTTGCATCATCATTATCGGTGCTTCTGGAAAAGAGACAGCAGAAAAAAGAAAAGAAAAGAAAATTTTGAGGGGCACAACCCATGGGTCTCAGGATACTTCTGGTGCCCTGACACACAAACAACAGGCCGTTTAAGAAGATAAACTGCAAGAGGTATGAATTCATTAAAGCTGCAGACAAAACCAGAGGGGGAAGAACAGGATGGATGGTGTATTTCTCTTCCAATACATTGTTACATGTTACCACTCAATTTGGGACCAGACTTCCTACTCCCAAACATGTGGAAGAGAAATACCCACATTCTAAGCCTGGAGAAAACATACAGTAAAAATTTACTAATTTGGTGTTTGACTCAAATGGCTGCTATTCATTCCAGAAGGAATTTCTTCTCTGGGTATCTCTCTCACACATACAATCCACAGCCACACACTTTACTTTTAAATCTTAACGCTAAGAATGATCTATAGTGACTTTAACTGGTTTTTACGCTGTGTTTAAAAAATAAATCCTCCAGGCCAAGACTGTGAACACCCAGCTGTCTACATTCTCACAGGTAATGATCAGACAGAGTTTTATTAACTTCTACCACACCTTCTATCACACATACCTGGCAATTAGGAAAAAAATTTTAAATAGGTTTCCTTAAATAGCTGCCTCCTATAAAAGTCTGTCTCCCCAGTCTCTCAATAAATCATGAGCAAAAAAAAAAAAGCAAAAAAAAAGAGGAAGATTTTTAAAAATCAAAAGTTCTTCTCCCCAAATCTTAACATGGTAAAACCCTTCACAGAGAACACCAGTAACTAGTTCTTAGCTTAAAAAAAAAAAAAAATCTGTTTACTACTTCTCGCCAAAAAGGAGTCCCTCTCTTACAATGCTGAACCTATTTTGTCAACTTTGTATTACTGACCTGTATTTGTAAGGTACAAGTAAAAGATGCAAAAATATGAAGTGTTTTGATACCAATGGGTACTTGTCATGTGACTTGTGGTCATATCAAACTGTAAAGTTGTGGTTTTTTTCCTTTTTAATCCTATCTGATGAGACAATGGAAACAGAAACTGCAAATTCCTGACTTAGTATCTAAGCAAGGGTTGAAAACCAGATTACTCAAACTCAACCTCCAAGATAAGTACATGAAAAGCACCTCTTTTAAATGACTCATACATGCATGCTTTAAAAATCATAGAAGCAGGGGCTCCTGGCCAATGTCAATTCTGGGGAGGAGGGCAGTGGTTTTCTTTGTGACTGCTAATAACTGATTACTACTGTGTGCACAAAGAACTCAAGGTGGGCAGACTTAGTTGAAAACTTAAGAGTAGATATCCTTCCCATCTTTGAACTTCTTTTTAAACAATAATAAGTCATTTGAAAAACAGGGGTGTCTGGCTGGCCCAGTCAAAAGAGCATGTGGCTCTTGATCTTCATGTCACAAGTGTGAGTCCCAAGTTGGATGTACAGATTACTTAAAATAAATAAATTAAAATATATATCACATATATTCATTATCCCCTTGTTCATCACTCTCAGTACTCCAGAATCAAATACTGTTATGAAAACTCCAGCCATTGAGTCCTAAGCCTCAAAAGTTCACACAGATCAGAAAGGGAAGAATACACAAGGTCTCAGAAGAGGAAGTTAAGACCCCACCAGAAAGTTCATTACTTTGCTCCTTTAAGGAAAATCACTAACCCTTCTTTGAGGTAATTGTAAAGTATCTGCTTGGCTGTCTCCTCATTGGTTTGTTGAGTGAGCTCTTGCTGGCCTTTCAGCAGATCCGGTGTGGCCTGGAACAGACAGCCTGTTATTAGATCACAGGATGGAGTTTCCAGGAAGAAGGCAGAAACCCTGAAGCAGAAACTTCCGAAATAAATCCCTCAGGTAAGGATCCTCATTACCACTGGCTCCACCACTTAATAGCTCTGTAACCTTGGGCAAGTTACTTAACTTTTCCTCACCTCAATTTTCTCACCTGTAAATGGAGATTAATCGTACCCACCTTCACAGAGTTGGTACAGTCCTATAATATGTAACAAATAGTGGCTGGTCCTTAACAACCTTATTCTCACTTTTATCACTATCATTATTTTTTATTGGTACTGCCAGAACACTAAATATACCACTGAAATAAATCCCATCACTTTACAGTTAACCTAAATTAGAATTAACCTAACTTCTCAGGCCAGGTATTAACCCAGTCACTCAATTTCATGAGAAAAAAATCAGTGTATCTACACAAACCTAAACACTGAACCTGTGGGTGGAAACAAATTCTGCACATTTTGAGATTTCACACATACGCTGACAGAAAAAAAATCAAGCCCCTCTGTAGTGTCTGACAAGTCAGTCTACAGACAAGACTACAGTAGAATTCTCAGTGTACTGAACTGAGTTGGAAAACCATACAGTTGGCAGTAGGCTGAAAACTCTGTAGGGGAAAACTAAAACATTTAGGATATGCAATTACCAATTCAAGACGGAGCTCTGTGTTCCCAGAGCCTCCTGCATGAGGCTGCAGAAGGAATGCAAAAAGAAGGAAAGGAACAAAGACCCACTAGCATTACCTGAGTATTTGAGGTGGAAGTAAACGTCTTCACAGAAATCTTCTTGGCACCAGAGTCAGGCGAAGTTGCTAGCGCCCGATTCTGTAGCATCAGCGTAGCAGTGGCTGTTTTGATTTCTTCCTCCTTCTTACTCTGTGCCGGGAGGGAAGAGGCATGCGTGTTTGTACTCTGCCGACCACCTCTGATTTCTGGACCTTTCCCATCTTTGCTCTGCTGGGGAGGCCTGAGGTGGGCCCCCTGCAGCTTCGCAAAGGCACGGCCCACACTCTGCTTCCCGCGGTGATCCTGAGCAGGTGACCGCTGCGGGCAGACCTGTGACGGACGCAGGAGGTGTTCGCTAGACTTGCCCAGGTTCCGGCTAAACTCATTTAGGTACTCGGAGTTCCCCTGGAGACCAAAGGGAAAGGCACTATCCACGCTTCGGGACCTCTTCCTGTCTTCAGGGTTGATTCTGTTTCGCTTCCCAGACCTTCCTCTCCTCTGGAACCCAGGTTTTTGGTCAAACTTTTCAATCAATTGATCCACACCAGGAATGGATCCTGTATCAATATCCCGCCCAGTTCCTGGCAAGAAGGGGATGTACCGTCTGTTTTCATGACGATTCACGTTGTCAGCATGGATGGCACATTCCTGATCATCAAGTAAAAATCTGTACAAAGAGTTGGCTGAAGTAGGGGTGGCCGATGAGGAAGAGGACCTCCGGGACCGAGCTCCATCCAGGACGGGTCCCGCCGAATCCTGTCGCCGGAAGGGAAGCACGTCCGGCCTGGCTTTCTTGGTTTCGAGATGAGTGTGTGGGCTGTGGGCAGTTAGGGACCTCCCACTGGGGGAAAGGGCCTCCTCTACCAGCCCCTCCTTAGTGCAGCTCTGAACATTCACACACACGGAAGTCTGCTTCTTGGGGTCATCTATGACCACAGAGCTGCACAAACGAATAGCCGTCACGCTGGATTTGCCCGCATCTTCCAGAGGAGGGCTGGCAGGCTGGGAACTACTAGGTTTGGGGAAGCATGTCCAAGCCTTCTTACTGTTGGCACCTTCTTCTGTTAAAGTGTTTAACCAATGACTCTGAGGAGGCTGGTGATTTTGCAAGTTCAATTCATTCTTTTCAGGGTCGTAGGGCTGCAAAAGCTCCGGATGCCGTTGAAAGTTCAGCATGTGGGATGGCTTCACCGGCCCCTCTTTGCCTTCTAGGACTCCATTCTTGCCCTCAAAGAGAGAGGACTGTTTCAGGTTTCTCACTGGGCCGGGTTGAGCATAAGGACTTTCTGGGAGCTGCAATTCTTCTGCGCTGTTCCCCTCTAGCACAGACCCGTTGCTGGCATGCAGAGGCAGGTTATTTATCACTGGCGATGAAAACGGTGGCCCATTTTCAGAAAAAGATGAGCCTGCTAGACACCGCTCTGTATTATTCAGGACTATGTAGGGGTGGCCATCAATCCCCTGTACCCGGATACTGACACCATAGGAGCCTGCCTTAGAGGGCTGGGAATTCCTTGATTTTTTGCTATCATCACTTGCGAGTCTCAGATGGACGCCATATTCTTGCTGCACATGTTGATATTCACCGAAATACAGCTCCATGGTTCACTGTTCTCACTACCAGGGAAAGAGGGGTAAAAAGAGGACATTAGATCCGAATCACATGTGTTTCAATGAAGATTATGAGGGGAGGGGCGCCTGGGTGGCTTAGTCGGTTAAACGTCCGACTTTCACTTAGGTCATGATCTCACGGTTCGTGGGTTCGAGCCCTGCGTTGGGCTCTGTGCTGACTGCCAGCTCAGAGCCTGGAGCCTGTTTCAGTCTGTGACTCCCTCTCTGACCCTCCCCTGCTCACGCTGTCTCTCTCTCTCAGAAATAAATAAAAACATTAAAAAAAAAAATAGAGGTCTACTTTAAAAAAAAAAAAAAAAAAGATTATGAGGGGAAAGTTCAAAGAAAACAAAACACTTTAACCAGCAAGGGCATTTCAGAACCAAATGGTCACCCAAACAGACCTTTCTGGATGCCCTCCGTGACCACGGTGCTGTCAACACTGGGCTTGAACCCTGGCTATTGGGTGGAAGACTGGCAGACTAACCCTGACACCTCTGGCATAACTTTCTTATTCTGTTTCTAACTGACAGTCCATTCTGGTTGCTTTGGTTTTTTTCCTTAGTTGGTTTCTTCCCACCTTCTACTATTTATTTTTAACCAATAGGATGTTCCGGTCACCAGCATTTGAGAACAAGGTACTTTTCCATGAAACAATTAAGAGCCAAGGCATTCTGATGCCCACCATTTTTCTTTTCTCCTGTACTATTATTAATCTTCTTGTTGGAACAACACTTTCAACCTTTTTCATGCACAGTCTTGCTTTGAAACCTTTATCACTATTTATTTGGATATAATGTTTAAAACAGTTTTGACTTTGTGAGGCTGACAATGAGAGAAAATGATTAGAAATAGCTTTCCATTATCTTTTCTTACCAAAAGGGTTCCAGTAACACACTGATCTGCAAAATGTTATAAAACACCAAGGACTCAGGGCCCTTTACTTTGTGATGTGTTCCAATGCCAAGAATCGGGTGCCAAGAATCGGGTGCCATCACCTTTTCTGGGGTGTGGCCACCATTGTCAGAGAGGCTGCACACAGATGACTAGGCAGGATGCCCAGCCCACCCCACCCTCTGAGGCCTCCCACCGGGAATTTACTTCCATCTCCTGAAGAACTCCGACAGCAAAGAAGCCCCAGGAAGAGCAGTAGCAACTGGTCACAGATAACAGCTGTCTCATTTCTTTCACTGCTAGGGGTCTTTTTCAGTAGTCAGAAAGACTGATTCTGGACTCAGTCTGGTAGCACATTTTCTGAGAATATCTATCAGATCCACATTTTCAAATTTATTTGCACAGCGTTTTACAAAGCATAAATCATTTCATCTCTTTTTTATTTCTAGTTATCCCGTTGTGCTTCTGTGTTTTCTTCACCTGTCTCTTGATTGTGCAAGTAAAATGTATATCTACACATATTTTTAAATAATTGTTCTCCCAAAGAAGTAGCTCTCAAAACACATCATTTCTCTTTCTAAATTTTTTAAGTTTATTTATTTATTTTTGAGAGACAGAAAGTACAAGTTGGGGGGGAGGGAGAATCCCAAGCAAGCTCCACACGGTCAGTATGCAGCCCAATGCAGGGTTTGAATTCTTAAACCATGAGATCATGACCTAAGTCAAAACCAAGAGTTGGACACTTAACCAACTGAGCCATCAAGGGGGTCCCTCTTTTTTAACTTTCTTACGGAGTTCTAGTTCTTTATTACTTCCTTCTGCTTTCCTTTGCTTTTGTTGTTCTGTTTCCAATTTCTTATCTTTGTATGCTTCATTTACTTTGATTCTTTAATTATATCCCATGAGTTGTGATATCTGACTATGTCAGTTAGGAACTATGCTGGTTCATACTAACAAAGAGACCCAAAATAGCAACTTAAGAGTTAGGATTTTTTTTCTCCCCCAGAGGTAGGAAGTCCAAGGCTGGAATAGATGGGAGGGTATTTCTGAGCCATACCTCCTTTATCCTTCCAGTCATCTACTTGCAGTGTATTAGACACCTTACGATTACAAGATGGCTAACCCAGCACCACATATGCCAAAGGTTTATTGGGTCAGCTGAGTCAGCTTTTTAAGGAACTTTCCTGAAAGTCACACCCACCAATATTACTTTATATCTCTCACTGTTGAGAACTTGATCATACAGGCACCCCTTTGTACAAGGATGGATTGAGAAACAGGGATTTTTAGCTGGTCATTGACACTCAACAAAATCAATGTCATGTTAATAAAAAGGCAGAAGAAAATAGACACTGGGAGAGCAGCCAATAACTTCCACCACAGTAATGTTTCTATCATTATTTCCTCAACAGTTTCAATTTGTGGTTTTGGTTTCTTCTTTGACCCATGACTTGTTTCTGAGAAAGTTTTGTCATACCTAGTATGTTTGCTGTCCTGTTGTTTTGGCATAGAGCATCTTTATTTCTATACATTGTTAATTTCTACATGCATTGTAGCCAGAAAATGAAACTTCTATTATTCCTTCCTTTTTTTTTTTTTAATGTTTTATTTATTTCTAGGAGAGAGAGAGAGAGAGAGACAGCGTGAGCAGGGGAGGGTCAGAGAGAGAGGGAGTCACAGACTGAAACAGGCTCCAGGCTCTGAGCTGGCAGTCAGCACAGAGCCCGATGCAGGGCTCGAACCCACGAACCGCAAGATCATGACCTAAGCGAAAGTCGGACGCTTAACCAGCTAAGCCACCCAGGCGCCCCTATTCCTTCCTTTTTAAATGTACTGAGGTTTCCTCTGTGGGCAAACGTATGGATAATTTTTGCCAACATGTAATGGGTAATGTGCGTACTCTCTTTTTTAAGGCATGGAATTCAAAATAGATCCATACAACTATACCAATCATTTATTTAGCAATCATACATCCTTACTTATTTCATCTTTCCAATTTGCCTTAAGTCTTCCTGGATACAGCTGTCTCCTACTAGCATGGTGCTGTCACTTCTGGTGACTGTTCTTTTACATGTTAAAAATGTTAGACATCATCACCTCCAATTTTATAAACAAGAAAAACTTAGGTATATTCATCTCAAATTCATTAACTCACCAATCCCAATTACTCACATTATTAACTCACATATTCCCAATTATATGTCATTATGCCTAGATTTATTTTCAGAGTTCTACTAACAGTATTAAGTGATTTCATTTTTAATCAAAATAAAACAAGATATAATGAAAACCTGGATTCTCCAGCTTCTCTTCCCCAACCCGATCCCAGTCCCCGAGGAAGTCAGCTGCACATTTTAGCCGTTTCTCTAGTACTCACTTCCATGTTGCTCAGTATGATGCCTCGCAGCAATTTCTTACCAGCTGTACATATGGGAGATGACAGAGCATACATACGAATTCTCCATTCTGCGAGCCTCTCAGTAACATTATTTATACTTGTATTATTATGATCATATATTATTTGTATATTATTTTAATATCTATTATTATTATATAAACGTATATTCATTAAAGAGCCAAACTGAAAGCTATGACCATCTCTCCTTACAAAACTTTAACTTTTCTAGAGTTAGTATGTGATAGCTATTTTCACTTGCCTTCTTTTCGAAATACCTAACCTCATCTGTTACATCACGTGTTAGATGCTTACCTGTATTCATTTCCAAATAATCAACATGAGATAATCTGGTGATCTTTCCCCCGGTGCAGCCTCCCCTCCCCCTGCTCTATATTAGGTTCTGGTTGCTCTCTTCCTTCTGGGCCATATTGTTTCCTAAGTCTTGAATCTTCGTCGTGCTCAGTTTACCCAACTGGTCTCATGGAGCACACTTCAGTAGCTTCTTAAGAAAAGACACAAGGGAGTAACCTTTTTCAGTCCTTATATTTTGAAAAATGTCTTTATTCTCTGTTTACGTATGACTGATAAGCTTGCTGCTGGATTTAGAATGCAAGTTAGAAATAATTTTCCCTCAGGGTACCTGGGTGGCTCAGTCGCTTAAACATCTGACTTCAGCTCAGGTCATGATCTCAGGGTTTGTGGGTTCAAACCCCGCACTGGGCTCTGTGCTGACAACTCAGAGCCTGGAGCCTGGTTCAGATTCTGTGTCTCCCTCTCTCTCTTTCTCTGCCCCTTCCCTGCTCGCGCTTTGTCTCTCTCTCAAAAACAAACATTAAAAAAAATTTTTTTTAAAGAAATCATTTTCCCTCCAATTTTTTAAAGTATTACTTCATTATCTTGTAGCTTCCAGGAGTGCTGTTAAGAATTCTGCTATTATGACATCCTTTCTTCCAAGTGTGACCTGTTTCTTTTTCTCTGACAGTTTCGAGGACCTTTTCTTTGTCACTACTATTCTGAAATTTCACTATGATCTATCTGAATGAGGGTTTTGTAAGACTGGGCCCTTTTATAAAACATGGGCATTCAATATATTTCCTCAATTTGGAAATTCATGTCATCAGTTCTATGAAATGTTCTTATGTTATTTCTGTGATAACGTTCAGAGAACTATTTTGGTTTTGGTCTTTGCATCTAATATATTAGTAATGTTGCATCTTTTAAGCTCAGTTTCAATTTTCTTTCCTCATCCACTTCTCAATTCTGTCCTTTTAATTCTACTTTTTGAGAGCTACATCCTCAACTTTCCTAAAATCCAAGTATTTAACATCTCCATTATCTCCTTTTTGTTCTCCAAGCGTTCCTGTTCCATAAATGCTATTCTCATTTTAGACATAAAATATCTTCTCTCTCTCTGAAGATATTAACTATAGCTTTTTTCAAAAAAATATGTTTCTTCTACTTCCTGCCGTATCTGCATCTTCTATAAGGTTTCTCTTTTCTGGTTTGTTTTGGTTCTTTCCTTCATGTTGAAACCTTTCCTAATAAGACTGGGATTCCTGGCTGCCTGATACTATTTAAGAGTAAAGTACGAAAAGCAAACTGGAGACTCTGTGTGTGTGCAAAGGAGTTATTAGCTAGGGAGCTTCAAGTAATGGGTGTGGAAAGGTGCTAAGATTTCCAATGAGGGAAATGCACATTTCAGGATGTGGGGCAT